TGTTTGTTTCTTATGTTTGTATTGATTTTTATTTTTATTTTTATTTTTCCATTTTCATTTGTCTCTGGCAGGACCTGGTGGCAATTTAATATTCTTTTTTTTAAAAATAATTTTTATTGCTTAAAGTATTACAAAGAGTATTACATATGACTCCTTTCCCCCCCCCCCTTACATTCCCCCAGTTGATCTCTTAACGCACCCGCCCCCCCCGCAAACCCTACCCAGGCTTCCCACTGTAGTTTGACAGTCTGTTCAATGCTGCTCTGCCTCTGCATCTATTTTTGTTCATCAGTTTATATTGGTCTTTATTATCCGTTTCAACCTCACCAGGGCCGTCCCAATGTATTGATTTTTAGACAGAGAGGAAGGAAGAAGGAGAGATAGAAACATTGATGAGAGAGACACATCGATTGGCTGTCTCCTGCATGCCCCCTGTTGGAGATTGAGCCCACAACCTGGGCATGAGCCCTGACCTGGAATTGAACCTGGGACCTCTTGGTCCATGGGATGACGCTCAATCCACTGAGCCATACCAGCCTGGCTTATTTTTGTTTGTTTTTTAATAACTTTTTAATGTGGAAACAATTCTTAGTTTGTAGTCTTATACAAATAGGTTTCCCACCCCTAATCTATACTACTTTTCTGAAATACGTTTTACAGTCACTAACTCCACCAGATGGTCCTTGCAAAAAGGATTACATGGTTAAATAAATTTGGCAAGTGTTTTTTTGCTGTGTCACTCACATAGAGATCTGTAAGGCTCATTAGCATTTCAAAGACTTTTTAAAGCCCTTCTGTAAACTGTAGATAAGCACTTATCTTCTAGGACAGCTGTTCTCAACCTGTAGGTCGCCCCTTTGGGGGTCGAACGACCCTTTCACAGGGGTCACCTAAGACCATCGGAAAACACATATATAATTACATATTGTTTTTGTGATTAATCACTATGCTTTAATTATGTTCAATTTGTAACAATGAAATTGGGGGTCACCACAACATGAGGAACTGTATTAAAGGGTCGCGGCATTAGGACGGTTGAGAACCACTGTTCTAGGAGCTTTGTGGGTTTGTGGTGTGTGTGTGTGTGTGTGTGTGTGTGTGTACGCACATTACCTACTTGTATTCCATAGAACTAGTTTTTCAGAATGCCTGCCTATATAGAGTCTCTAGATTTATTTTCTGATAATTTATAATTAATCAGACTTTTCAATTATTTTCCTCTAAAATTACTACTTTGTCTCCATCTACTTGAAAGTTTATTTTAAAATGTTCTATATACTGATGTGACTGGATTGTAAGTTTGAAATTTAAACATAAAAAGAACCATAGTATCTGCTTTCTTCACAGTTTTCTCTATTATTATTTTATGACACTGCTAACTTATTTTTTTCTCTTAACCAGGAAAAGTGGGTTGAAGTTGCCTCAATGAAAGTGCCTAGAGCAGGCATGTGTGTTGTGGCAGTCAATGGGCTTCTGTATGTTTCTGGAGGTCGATCTTCCAGCCATGATTTCTTGGCACCAGGTACCTTGGATTCAGTTGAAGTTTATAACCCTCATTCAGATACATGGACTGAAATAGGTAATATGATCACCAGTCGTTGTGAAGGAGGTGTTGCTGTTCTATGAACTATAAACTGTAAGAGAGCACAAGAAACATTTTGAAAATATAGGTTCTGACTTTTTGCAAATCACACATGTATTTGGTCATAGGACCCTTTGATTCTGTTGAGTTTTCCATGTGTTTGATAGATAAATAACTAAAGATTATTTTTCTAAGAATTTGAGTGAAAAGGATATGGATTATGTCCTAAATTAATAAAGAGCTCACAAAAATTTGCCACGCTTACTAATAGAAATGCTATTTATGTTCAAGAATTGTTCAGTTAGGAATAGAGTCCTACTTGTAAAAATTATTTACTAGAAACTTCTTGGCAAATAGCCCCTTTAGCAGCTTCTCCAGTGCAATTCAAGCTGTAACATGACCTTGTGTGATATAAAAATATCAGTGGAACAGTTTCAAGATGTCGAAATTCATAATGTAATCCAGAGCACAATTTTTTTTTCTTTTTTCTTTTCTTTTTTTTTGTTTTGTTAATCCTCGCCCAAGGATATTTTTCCATTGATTTTTAGGGACAGTGGAAAAGAGAGGGAAAGATGGAGAGAAATATCAATGTGATGGATGTCAATTAGTTGTCTCCTGCATGAGCCCCGACTGGGGCCCAGGCCAGGGAGGAGCTTGCAACCAAGGTAGGTGCCCTTGACCGGAATCGAACCCGGGACCCTTTGGTTCACAGGCCGACGCTCTATCCACTGAGCCAAACTGGCTAGGGCCAGAGCACAATTTTTCTTGGCCATAGTTTAATTTATAGTGAATAGCCAATGAAACAACATACTACTTTTACTTGATGCTAGGAGTTTCACTAGCCCCAAACTTTTTTAAAAAATACATTTGTATTGATTTCAGAGAGGGAAGGAGAGGGAGAGAGAGTTAGAAATATCAATGAGAGAGAATCATTGATTGCTTACCTCCTGCATGCCCCACACTGGGGATCGAGCCTGCAACCCAGGCATATGCCCTGAGTGGGAATCAAACAGTGACTTCCTGGTTCATAGGTCGACGCTCAGCCAGTGAGCCACACCTACCAGGGCTAGCCTCATACTTTTTCTTGGCAGCAGATATATGGGAGGGACATATATAGCCACTGTTAGAAATATCTAGCTACTTATATAGAGAGATAACAGCATTAAAAAAAGCTTTTGCTCACGTCTTTTGTCTTGATGCTGAGAATGCAAATAATTAAGAGGAGGTTCTTAGTGATAGTCCTTTATTGCAATAGGATGATGGAATGGGTGATAGAGCCCAGTAGGTGGTATGCACCTACTATATTTTTCCCCTATTTTCTAAATAGGCACCAAAAATATGTTTGGCTTTGGGAAGATGGAATTTTATTAGATCATCTAGCTTTGTAAAGTTTACTTGTACTTGGGCAAGCCTAAGTATGAGCTTATTACAAAGCTACTGCCTGGCTTGAAGAAGGTAGAATTTTAGATACCTGTGAAAATTTTTATAGACACTAACTCATAAGATGAAAGGCTTCTGATTCAAAACTACTTCTCAAAACTTATTTTTCCCCTGAGAAGCATTTTAAAGAATTGTTCTCTGTCCAGTTCTGAAAGATTTGTGTACATGATCATTACTTTTAAGTTATTTCTACTAATCAGTTGGAGCCATTTATATGAAAGATCTTGCATACAATTGGGTTTTTACCTAGCTCATTCCAGGATTTGATTAGTATATTCCCCCTTTTCTTTACTAAAGTCCTTCAGTATATTGTTATAAGTATCAATAGCTTAATTAGAATGAAAGCTTTATGTAAGCATTAAAGACTCAGGTAGCATTAATATCCAAAATATTTGGATTGGCCCACAAGAATACTTCATAACTTAACCATATGCTTGTATTAAGAAAAGCTTATGGCCCTGGCCAGTATGACTCAGTTGGTTGGGCATCATTCCATGCACTAAAAGGTTGTCAGTTCGATTCCCAGTCAGGGCACATGCCCAGGTTTTGGCTCAGTCCCCAGTGGGGGGTGTGTAGGAAGCAGCTAATCAATGTTTCGCTCTCACATTGATGTTTCTTTCTCCTTTTCTCTCTTTAAATGTCAATTTAAAAATCTTCCAAAAAAAAAGAAAGAGAAGCTTATATAGTGCAGACAGAAAGCTCTGAAAGTCTGAAAGGTCACAAATACCTAATTGGGATCTGTAAAATGTAAAGGAATGAAATGTCAAGTTAATTTGTAGGTTATTTAATCTCATGTGCCTTTAATATTTCTAGTTACAGAGAATCTGCTTTCAAAAGAGATTTATAAAATGCTCCTAATTTAATTTTCATTATTGCCTAGCAACCTAAAATTGCAATGTGAAAGGGAGGCATTATGTACTACTGTGGCAGAAATGTAATGTCAAGACAATGTTTAGCCTTAATAGGTCCAAATGATCCCTGAAAAATAGGTAATTGTAAATATGCTTATTGTTTCCTAGGTAATGACAGATTGTTTAAAAAAATATATACTAATAAAGTATTTTGATTTTTGCTCTTCCAAGATTTTGCTTTTCCTTCTGAGA